GGGGGGGGGGGCGGATGGGAGCAATGCGGCGGCGATGAAGGTGTACCTGACGAAGAAGGAGCGCAAGAGGATACGCCGTACAACGAGGATGGAGAGGGAGAGGTGCGTTGCTTGAGAGGGTGCTGGGGGGGGTGTACTCAAAGTCGTGCATGCCGTAGTCGTTAGACCACTGACCTCGCATCCCTACGAAGCCGGGACGGAGCACGCCGGGTTCTCACCGGACCAGGCTCTCACATCACCAAGCGCAAAGCGCCGTGAGGTATTCGGCGAGTCGCATGGAGGGTGCGCTACATCCTGCTAAAAGGGTTTTCGGCATCTTGTGCTTACTTCCTGGATGCTGGGGGGGGGGATAGTAAACGCATGCCGTAGTCGGTTGACCATTGACCTCGCGTTGCCAGGACGGAGCGATATGTATGCTGGGTTTTTCTTCGCCGGCCCGGGCTACATGTCACAAGGATGAGCCAGAAGCTGGTCATCGTCCTCGGCGTTTACTGTGCCAAACCAGAAATGCCATGGGTTGATCGGGCATCACGGCTAACCTAACAGGAGGGGGCTCTCGGTGGTTTTCTGTAGGGAGGTCTCTCGTACGGTGTCGGTCGGGGGGGGGGGGGGGGGGGGGGNTCCCCCCCGGGGATTAGGGTACTTGCGTGCATGTACGTGTAGAGCTGTTTTTCAGACCAAACTTTATATACTCCATATTCCTTGCCCTCCCCCTGCGCGCAACGCTGACATGCTCCTCCCTCCCGCTGTCGGCTGCTGCTGGCAGGGAAAAGCAAGACAAGATCGCCCTCGGGCTGCTGCCAACGCCGGAGCCGAAGATGAGCATGAGCAACTTCATGCAGGTGTGGAGGTGGCCAGAGGGCCGCTGCGAGCGTCTGGGCTACCGCCGCACCATATGCGCTCGCTGTGTTTTTTCCGAGGAGCCACACGTCCACCCACCTTGTTCTGTGTTGTGTTTCCCACACTTTCCTGTTTTGACCTACATTAAAGGTATCCTATTTCCTCGATCAAGTCAAGAGTGGATTGAAAAGTTTCAGATCCATTCCCTTTTCCCCAGCGTGAGTCGTGAGTTGTTGTGGTCGGGGTGACGCGCAGCGCGGGGGTGTAGAAATCCGGGATACAGCTCCACAAGGGGTTCGAGAGGGGAGGTCTGACGAATGACTCTGCGCATGGTCTTGTGCAATCGTGATGAGATCACCCCCCCCGTCGCAGTCGTTTTGATATGACGACCTGTCAGGGGGCGCCGCGGTGATGATTTTACTCCAGCAACAAACTTAGCCGTTTACCCGTCATACCCCACACTCTGGTGGCATGGTGAGCCTCGCTCGAATGAACCACGGTGCCCCCCTTCCCCCTCTCAGCTGTTGGTGTGTTTGCGCCTCTGCTGTGTCGCTTGGTTGCTTCTTTTTCGAAGCATATTTTCTCACGTTCTGTATACTCTAACCGCTTTTTTTGCGGCCTACCACATGAGGGTCAAAGGTGCAATGCAGGCCTTCTCAGCCGAGTTTGAAACTGTCGACGTTGTTTGCGGCGTGTGTGCAACATCGGCCGAGTTACCTCGTCCAATCAAAGCCTCCTTTTTGGAACCGCAGCAGTATTTTGCAGTGTTGGTTAGACTCCGTGTACAATGATTCAACACTATTTACGTCTCCCCAAAAACCTATCTAGAAATAATCAAATGCTCAGATGCACAATAATTAAATCACGGGAGCTCACGCGCGTGTTGTACCCGGTACCTTTTTTTGTCACTGTACCAGTCGGTTGGTGCGTACACGGATCGGAAAGCTGCGTGTCACGGGTCGGATCGGTACAGACTGCTAGGGTGGCGCTTGTGAAGACGCTTATTCGTGTAGTAGGCATCTAACAACGAGAATTGGGGGGAACTTGTTATTGCCCACATGGCTCCAGTGCAGCTCTTGCGAATGGTCTACAATCATACGGGATGATCCATACGGGATGAACAATCTTCTGAGACACGCTGTTTTTTTGTTTTTTTTCTGCACCTCAGGCATGACACTTTGACAAAACGTAAGATCAACCGTTACTTTTGCTTTCCCGCTTTCGCCTCAAGTGCTAGGGCCAATGAGTAAGACCAACGATGCGTGTGTTCCCTGCTTTTTTCTCCTCAGGTACTAGGGGACCAGGCGGTGGTCGACCCTTCGAAGGTGGAAGCCCTGGTGATGGGGCAGGTGCACCGCCGCAAGGCCGAGCACGAGGCCCGCAACCAGGCGGCCAAGCTTACCCCCCAGGAGAAGAGGGACAAGAGGAAGAGAAAGCTGCTCGAGGACACCTCCAAGGAGTTGCAGGTGTGGTACAATAGCATGTTGTTGTTGTTGTTGTTGTTGTTGTTGTTGTTGTTGTTGTTGTTGTTGTTGTTGCTGTTGTTGTCCTCACATCACTATATCGTTCAGGGTCTCTGCTCAATACCATCTCTGTGATCGTTGTTGTTGTTGTTGTTGTTGTTGTTGTTGTTGTTGTTGTCGTTGTCTTTCCATTTAAATCTTTTCCGGCCCCTGGTCATTTACCTTCTAAATATCCGTACTGGTCCAGCTGACGCAAGCGCCTTCATACAGTAGGGTACCCCATAACCTATTTTGTATCCCGCATTCGCATGGCCTCATGGCGTTTCTCAAATCTCCTTTGTCCCTTTATCCTCTCTTGCCTTCATATCAAGAAGGTTTTTATGAACCCCTTTGTTTTTATGAACCCCTTTTAAAGTAGGACACAGGACTACTGCGACCGATTACAAGGTCGTGTTGACTGGTTGGTGAGATGCGTCGGTTCACGTGTAACGTGCGGAAGAGAGAAATGCGACGAGACTTGGACGATGTTTCGTTTAGGTCAGTCGTGAACAACAACAAGCTGTGTGATGTGTTGTTACCCAACGATCATTTCTGAGTTTAGGAAACTGCTGTGAAGAAAACAAGCAAACCTCGTTTGTCCCCCCCCCCGCCGCCCTCTTGTCTGCTTGTCTGTGCCTCGATGTCGATGTTGATCTTGATCTCCCGAACGATCGATCGAAGGTGGCAGTGTACCGGGTAGCGGATATGTCGGACCCCAAGCGGCGCTTCAAGGTGGACGTGAACGCGCAGCAGAGATACCTCACGGGGGGGGTGGTCATGTGCACGTGAGAAGACAACAGTTCGTACAGCAGTGATTTGTTAGCGTCATCGGAAGTACTATCGTGCGCGGTCATCGGCACACACACGCACCTCTTGTGGCCCCCATAGCTGGGTGTTCGTTTTTTTGTTGTCAGCATCGACCGCGCTAACCGGCTGACCAATGAAACGACGTCAGTCTCGGTGCGGTTGAAAACACAAAACGCTTGTGAATGCCATCATCATCATCTGGGACCTCGTGAGCGGGCGGCATGGGGAAGATTAATCTATTGCCTGGATCAAAGACAGGGACGGTGGTGTGTGAGTGTGTGTTTGCTCTTTTTTTTTGCCGTTGTTCTCATCTGCCCTCTTGTCCGTACTGCTTGAACTCTTTTGTTGTTTTGTTTGCAAACCCGTTTCCGATTTGGCTTGTGCTGAGCCCTTAAAGTCCGCCGCAAATTCTCTCTTGCTCCTGATTCTCCAGCGTAGTCTGTTCGTCTACGAACCGTTCAACCAACCATCCGCAAGAGACCAGCCCAACCGATCAATCCGCCTCCAACTCTTGGTGGCTCCTGATGTTCCACCGATTGTATGTAGTCTGTTCGTATACATCTACCGCCCCTGTGAGCAAATATGAATCCGTAACCTTTCAACCAGTGGACATGAACCCGTAACCTTTCAACCAATGCACATGACAACGGTAACCTTTCAACCAATCACATCCGCAGAGACGAGGCCAACCCGGGCATGAACATGGTGGTGGTGGAAGGAGGTCCGAAGGCCGTTCGCGCCTACACGAAGCTCATGACGCGCCGCATACGCTGGGGGGAAGAAGAGTTCGGGGAAGGGGACTCGGATTCTGAGAGGTTAGGCATGGTATTTATACTGTGGTCCTGCGAAGCGATTTGTACGGCGGAGCCCCTTTCGGATTTGATCGATTGATGATGCCACAAATCCCGCCGTCGTCTTTGGTTGCACGGCGTTTTTTTTCATGTGCTGTTTTTTTTTTTTCCCTCTGGTGACACCCTGCCAGTTACCGCTCGCTGATTTGTTCCTTAGTAGCATTCGACGGGAAACTGACTTGACCAATCAGAATACGTCTCTCGTTTTCTTTGTTGCGTGACGAGCGAAGTACTGTTCGTGGGGCCTCCCCTCTAGCAAAGGGATGCGGAGGGAAGTGAACCGAAAGGTCGAGCAGTCCATATTTTTTGGGTGTGTTTCTCTTTGCATAGCACTCTCAATTTTTTTCACATCTGGCACGATGCTTTTGTACTTGAGGCACACTCCATCTCATTGGCTGGCGCTTGATCGACAATAACAACAGTGTGCTCGTTCGGCAGCGGATGGGCGTTGCATACGTGCAAAACTACGCAGCGATGAGGTTTTTACTTTTTTTTTTTTCGGCGAAAGGCAAGCGTTTCCAAATCTCAAACTTACAAAAGAAGAAAAACGCCTGGTTCGCCTACAATTATAGTACTTGGGAGTGGGGGTCGTTGCTGATGTTCCGGCGTAAGGCTAGCTGTAGTGTGAAAGATAGTGACGAGGAATCCCCCCAAAAGCCAAAGCCGTCAAAATCGTTTTTTGCTCTTTTTGACAGCCGGGCTATTACCGGTGGATGAGACTCGTAAGCAAGCAACGAGCACGTCATTACCACTACCGTAATAGCCTCGTCTAGAAATTCGTCTTCATCAAGTGTTTTGCTTCCACCCCACTCCCACGTCATTCCCTATCCCACCCCCCGGTCCCTTGCCCCGTCCGTATGGTGTGATTCGCGACTGGTTTGACGTTCTGTGTGACATGGCGCGACAGCGACGAAGAGGTGTCCAAGCCGGCCCTGTCAGGGTGCATGTGCGAGCTGGTATGGCAAGGCACTGTGCAGACGAGGTCTTTCCCTGCATTCCGATTCCAGGTAAGTGGTGGGGGGGGGGGGGG